CATCATTCTTAGTATAGAAGATAATGAATTTGTTGTGAAACCTCAAGTTTCTAGGTTCGATTTCTAAAAGAAAAAATAATTATAACTTGACATCCCTGAATCGTATACTAAAATTAAATAGCTGTCTAGTATTCCGTAGCTGAAATCCCTCCATGAAGTAAATTAAAATCATTCACTTCTGTTCTATTGAGACTACATTGTCATGATTGTTATTATCGTTTTACAATCTCATCCTATCGTCTTCACAGATTGTTTATTCTTATTAGTAAATAATTCATTCATATATATAAGTTGTTATTGTGTTACTTTGAATTCTATAAGAAGGGGTTTTCTGGATATTATAGTAGTTTCAATAGTTGAGTTAATTGAAGCTAGACCATCATCGAAAACGTCGAGGCACTGGACGGCCATTTCGTTTCAATGTGAGACTCGTCAGCATTGCGCATCTACGATCTCGCCCCGCGGGACTCACAGCCAGGACCTATCTGTCTCGCAAGCGAATGCTTAACCTCTAGACCACTGCGTTGGCCAGCATCTAACGCTGTTAATGTTTAACTTCAATTGATTTATGATCTCAACCATTAGAATTACCATAATATCCACAAAACCCCTTCTGATATTAATCAACATATGTTCACTAGTGACTAGTTTCAAGAGGTATTTCCTGGAGTTCTACTGAGAAGCATTGACCAGTGGAGTTCAAGTGGGTCTGTTGTGAGATAGTAACTCACTGGTGACAATGATGGATGTGTCGCTCAAGTTCGTGGATTAGTTGAAGTTAGACATGAACACTGTTGAATGCCAGCCAGCTGAATTGTCTAGAGGTTAAGCGCTCACGCGTGAGTCTGATAGGTCCTATGTTCGAATCTCGCTAGGTGAGATCATGGATGTGCACCGCTGAGAAGTCCTACAATAAGACGAAACGGCCATCCAGTTCTTCCAGATTTTCCATAGTGGTCTAGCTTCAATCGACTCATGATCTCAACCATTAAAATTACTTTGAATTCTGTCTATTTTTTTCTCATCATATTATTAAACTCTATTTATGTCACTTTCTTAATTCTATCCAATTCATTTCATCTTTTTTTTCTTCTTTTTCTTTAATATAATTATGTAAGTGAAATGAACAAATAAAACAGGAAACAACCAAACAATCAAGCAAAGAAACACAGATCACTTTACCTTATCAACTATTCATTAAAAATTTAAAGTTCAGTCAGTAACAAAAATAATAAAAATGGGTTATTGTTTTCTTTCGTTTATTTTTTTTTTGAGAAATAAAACAGTAAAACTTGTGTTGCATAATCACTAACACATAGATTGTTTTAGTTGTTAAGTAGAGAAAAACCAACAAAAGAAAACACACAAAAAATGATGTAACAGGTAACTTAAACACAACAAAAATGTTTTTTTTGTTTTGTTTTTGTGTGTTGTTGTTGTTGTTGTTTATTATGATTGTCGAATACTGGTTAAAACAATTTTTCTTATACCAAAGATACATAAAAATGATTTCATAATACACTAGGGAAGTATTATATAATGTAGATTAACTTAGTTACTAAGGTATTTTTATTATATGAATAAATATGTTGAATTATTGAAAAATGTACTATTTATAAACTTAATATGTATGTATGTGTGTGTGTGTGTTTGTGTATCTATGAGGTGCTTACAAGAAAACATATTGAATAATGGATTAGTTTAGAAGTAGTCATTAAAATTTATATGATAATTGGAAGCAGACATAAAAAGGAAGACAGCTGACAGATGCATTCCAAGTAAGGACTGGAGTCAGACAAGGCTGTTTACTCTCTCCCTTCCTCTTTCTTATGGTGGTCGACTGGATTATGAAGACCTCAACATCTGAAGGAAAAAACGGCATACAATGGACAGCTCAGAACCAATTAGACGATTTGGAATTCGCAGATGACTTAGCCCTCCTATTGCATACACATGAACAAATGCAGAGAAAGACAGCCAGTGTAGCAGTAGTTTCTGCATCAGTAAGCCTCAACATACTTAAGGGGAAAACCAAGGTCCTCAAATTCGAAACGGAGAACAGCAATCCAATCACTCTTGATGGCAAAACTCTGGAAGATGTAGAATCCTTCACATACCTGGGAAGCATAATCGATGAACAAGGAGGTTCAGATGCAGACGTAAAGGCGAGGATTGGCAAAGCAAAGACAGCATTCATACAGTTGAAGAGCATATGGAACTCAAAACAACTTTCAACCAATATCAAAGTGAGAATCTTCAATACCAACGTCAAGGCAGTTCTACTTTACGGAGCTGAAACTTGGAGAACTACAACAACCATCATCAAGAAAGTGCAAGTATTTATAAATAGTTGTCTACGAAAGATACTCAACATTCATTGGCCGGATACCATCAGCAACACCCTTCTCTGGCAGAGAAGAAACCAGCTTCCAGCTGAGGAGGAGATTAGGAAAAGACGATGGAAATGGATAGGATATGCATTACGCAAACCATCAAACGACATCATGAGGCAGGCCCTAACTTGGAATCCTGAAGGGAAACGGAGAAGAGGAAGACCAACGAACACATTACGTCGGATAATAGAAGCAGATATGAAAAAGATGAATAACAACTGGAAGGAGCTAGAAAGGATTGCCCAGGACAGGGTTGGATGGAGAATGCTGGTGAGCGGCCTATGCTCCTTCACGAGGAGTAACAGGCATAAGCAAGTAAGTAAGTAATGAAAAGGAGAAATAACAACTGGAACGAACTAGAAAAGATTATCCAGGATAGGGTTAAATAGACAGTGCTAATGGATAGCCTATAGTTCCTCCTCATGAGGGGTAACAGGTATAAGTAAGTAAGTAAGTTCTAAACAAACAAACAAACAAAATTAATTTAGATTATAGACTAATACTCAAGTTATATGTACCAGATTCAAACTGATTGATATATTTGTAATACTACACAGATTATATTCATATGGATAGAAATTTCGATGATAAGTATTCTACTTATAATTATTAGGATGAATAAAAATGTCTTAAAACATTCATCATCAACATCATTATAGCATGGGAGAGAAACTAATGAAGATTTCAATAGTTGAGATCATGAATCATTTGCAGCTAGACCACTCTCGAGAACCTGGAAGCACTGAACCGCTATTTTGTCTTAATATGGGACATCTCAGCAGTGTAAATCCACAATCCCACCCCGCGAGATTTGAACCCGGGACCTGTTAGTATCACATGCGAACGCTTAACCTCTTGACCATTGAGCTGAGATCCAACAATAGGACGAAATGTTCGTCCAGTACTTTCAGATTTTCCACAGTGGTCTAACTTCAATCGACTCATGAATTCAACTATTAAATTACTATCATATCCATAAAAAAACCCTTCTCTGTATATATTCTACAGTTAATGAAACTGTACAATCCTTTACGAAACAACAATTTCAAAAGTTTACTGAGATAAAGTTGGAAAAAAGTGGAAACAATAATGTAATACTTCGAATTCACTTGGTCTTGTATTGTTTGAATCATCCCATTGATCTCTATAGGACTGCAATTCATTAGTCTCTTATTATTGGCATATGTGAATACTGTGCGTATTGAATTGATATTGCCTTAATTCACAAGCATTCTAAACAAAGATGGATAGTGGCTAACAGTGTAATCCAGTTTGATGCGCGTTTCATCCTTTTTGGGATTCGTCAGCTGGATGTACCTACATCTCAAAGTTGATGTTCACTCTGGGACTCGAACCCATTACCGTTTGCTTCAAACACTATCGTATTATCCACTCAGCTATTGAATCTTGATAGCCACTTGCTTGTGTAATAGGGTAAAGTTTAAATTCATTTGGTATTATTTACTTGAATCTTTCCATTGATGTTTACGAATGCAATTGATCAGCCTCTTATTGGCATATGTGAATGCTGTGTGGGCTGCTTCGATATTGCTTATAAACCTTGTGACCTGAGGATGCACATATGCCAATAAGAGACTGATCAATTTCAATCGAAAATAACAATGAGAAGATATAAGTAAACAACACTAGGTGAATTTCATTTAGCGTATAGTTCACTTGATTTACTCAAAGTCTATTACAGAAAGTGATATCAAATCGATATTCTACCATTTTTATCCGTTCTTTGAAAACGGATGCTTAATTCTCTAAAAATATCAACAACAATGAAAATAATGGTATCTCATCTACAACATTCAGATAAAATAAATTGATAACTCAGTTCGAATCTCGCGAGGCGTGCATCATGGATGCACACTGCCACGGAGGAGTCCCACAGTAGGATGAAACAGTCGTCTAGTGCTTTCAGGTTCTTTCATGATAATCTAGCTTCAATGAATTCATGATCTCAACTATTAAAATCACTATAATATCCACACAAAAAAAAATCCACTTCTGATATTAAATTGATAACTATTCTCTTGTTATGTCCCGACAAGAATAAAGAATGGTAACTTTTGGGATCTATTGATGGACCATCACTAAACGTACATTTCTATTGTATAATTGTTAAGTAACTAAACTATTCATATTCGTATTCCTCTTATTATAAGCTTTATTTTGATCTATGAACTACTATTATACGTTTTACCATTCTTGAGTTATACCCAGTATATTAATTACTACCTCCCTCATTCACAGCCACATCTGGCTAATTCTTGTACAAAATTTTGTTTTCTATGATATGGTACGATGTGGTCTGTTTGGTTGGTATATAAACCGAGTATGTTTGAAATACATGATTCATATTGCAGAGCTGAGGTTGGTGTTCTAGACTCAACAGGTAGGCAGGGCTAAACAGGAAGCAGGATCGATAAGTACTCTACACTGGTCGTACAGATTTGATACGTCATTGATCCGGTCGATAATTCGCTGCTTCTGATTAGCGACTTTCGGTCATAACATTCTTCAATTGTGAATTTCTTTCATGATTCATTATCTTTCGAACAAAAAAAATGGGTAAGATACAACAGAACTACAGTCAATGTTTAATAAATTATATTATTTTTACATTGATCATCATTGCAGATATCTTATAAACTAAAGAATATAAAAGTGGCATTCATTCATAAACTAAGATCTTTAACAAATTGTATTAAAATAGAAATATATGACTATGTACAAGATTATCATCATAGAATATAATGATATCATCATTCTTCTACTTAGATTACATGCATCTTTTGAACATGTCATAACACATGCACGATATATTCGATCATGATCGGGGAAATCTAAAAATTGACATTCATTACCCATATCCCATGCGCTACAAAAACGTGTTATACCCATGACAGCTATAAAATAAAAACGAGATATAATGAGTATCTTGATTAAAACTATCAAAAAGAAAGACAAGATTGATATTGACATGAAGTTTGATAAAGATTTATAGTATATTATATAATTGAATACTCCACAATGATCAAGTGCAGATTTATGTATTCAGTTAACAAAGTTCTTGGGGTACTTCAACCAATCAGTTACAAGGTAGGATCAGGTACATATATACACTAGTCCAAGTTGACATATTTCATTAGCACAGCAAGCTGAACACCGAATTCATAGGAGTAGTCACTTCAATGGTAGTAGTGTATAAAAGAAGGACTGTGTATAAGGATATAGTACAGGAAGAAAGAATTAGCTGAATGGTAGAAAGAAAGATATAAAGTAAATTTGTTCTCACAGTTTAAGGGAGACGCTGATAAAATGCAGAGTCTTTTGGTAGCACTGAGCGACAATACCAGAATGTTTGGGATGCACTTCTCTCCCTCTAAATGCAAGTTGTTGCTTCAGGACTGGCCTGTGTCGACACCTAAACTAAAGATAGGGAGTGAAGTAGTCGAACGCGTTGACAACTTCACTTATCTTGGGAGTCTAATCAGACATAGTGGGTTGGTGTCTAAAAAAATCTCTCCATAGATCCGAAAAGTTAGTTTGGTTTTTGCGAACTAACATTACCTATGGTGAAGGCGACACATCCGTTTATCAATTAAGGGACGAGTATACTGCGTGGCAGTTCGTTCTGTTTTACTTTACGGCTGCGAAACGTGGTCATTAAGAGTTGAAGATACTCGTAACCTATTAATATCTGACCACAGATGCCTTAGAAATATTGCTCGCATCTGCTGGGATCACCGGGTAAGTAATAGTGAGGTTAGACGCAGGGTATTAGGGAATGATGATAAATCAGTTGATGAGGTTGTGAATCTTCATCGACTGAGATGGTTGGGACACGTGCTACACATACCTGAACACTGATTACCACGATGCACAATGCTGACCAGTGTATGGGACAGTTGGAAGAAAGTTAGGGGTGGCCAAACCAAAACGTGGCATCAGTGCTTGAAGTCAATAACTTGTAGTCTGAGCCATGTTGGGAGATGCATACTACTTGGTTGGGGTCCGCGTGACTATGGTAACCAACAGTTGGAGACTGTAGGTGACATGGCTCAGAATAACATTGATGTATACACTCTTTGTCTTCCCTTAAACTATGAGATTAAAATCGCTTCACATCTTTCCTTCTACGAACTAATTCTTTCTTCCTGTACTATATCCTTATACACAGACCTTCTTTTAAACACCACTACCATTGAAGTGACTACTTCTATGAATTTGGTGTTCATCTTGTTGTGCTAATGAGATATGGTAACTTGGACCGATATATATGTACCTGGTCCTACGTTGTAGCTGGCTGACTGACTGATTGAGAAGAAAATTATGTAGTACTGAAGGAATATAATTCAGCTGATAACTATTTTCTTTCTTCTGAGAAACAAACTTAGCACTCATTCTTACTATTCTTTTCCTGTATGTTACGATGAAGTGGTTGTATTATTAGATGCGATTAGTTACTAATCTCCCCGAAACTGATCGATATACGATTGAACGAAAGCGTACTACATTACCAACCTGCATAGAAGGGCTTTAAGATTTATCAGTGTATCTCACACTAGTATGATTTATTAAAGTCCATTTTGGTAAAAAAAACCCAGAGATTATCTCAGTCGGGATTGAAAGCACATATTCAACACAATAATATATAGTAAATCTACTACATGACTGAATTTTTATTCAGTCTTTGGGGATTAACATGTTACAATCGAGATCACTTGACAATGCTTTGATTTGACATATGAACTAAAGTGTGTACCAGTGAGAATTGCTCAACCAGTGGTCAAAAGTGAAAACTATTCTCTCACTTATAGATATTTAAATAATATTTTATATTACCTCCGTAGATTCCAGTAGTTTTAATACAAAATCGTGCTCCATAAGTTGTACAAGGGGTTGGTTGAAGTGAATGTTTGCCTAGATCAGTTAAGTGTTCTAAACAATTAGAATGATGCGATGAGTTGCATTGATAACAAGATAATGACGAAACGACACCTAAAAAAGATATACAAACAACTATAAATTTAATAGCGATAGACGTTCAGCGTTTGATGTAAGAGTTTATGATAACAGGCATATGATAAAAGTAATGACCACAGTAAATCTATAATTTTCCGAAAAGTATGGAACTAACTTTTCAAAATTTTTTAACTGATGACAAATTGCTTCTTTCAGAAAATGGAGGACCTTTCTTCCAATTAACACAACTTTAAATAGTACAATCAAATGAGTCAAATATCTAGTTCTAAAAAACTATTTTGATTACACTAGTGTCATACCATTCAAATCAAAGATGGTTCTATGTGATCGTATGTTCGATTACTAGGTAAAAGCGATAACCAGAAGTTCATCTAAACTAGTAATGCAGTAGTAACTTAATGGTTTACGGACTCAGAATCTTAAATATTGGGTCATAAGTCCTAACCGTGTTCCAACTGCTTCGATCAGAGTGGAAGGCTATTATCACAAGCCTGAAAACAAACGACTTAGCTTAAAACCGATGAGATAGAATGCGTACTTAATGAGTTAATTAATTTATTATCGGTGGTGAGAGACAAAAAATTAGGTATGTCGATACTAAAAAATGGTGCTACAACTATCCTGATAAGTCAAATTGTAAAGTCGTTCTGCACCATGATTATAACTTTATCTTTATATTACGCTCGTTTGTAAGTAACCAATAAGCGAATGTTCACCTGGTTTCATATCTATTCTACTAAGCTGTTTCATTTGCTAAAAACCAAAGTTAACTAAAAAGTAACTCATGTATACAAAGGTAACTGATGATAATCAATGAAACAAGAAACCTTGTTCTACTCAATATGTTGAAAATGACTAGACAGAATCACTAACTTAACAAAACGGTATATTGCCGCGTACAAAGTTTTTAAAGTATGAAAGTAACAATTAGATCTGGTAATTAGCCTTAGTTTAAAATGACAAAACGAATGGTAAGATGACAATGCACACTTTTATCTTTATGGGAAAAATAAGTCACATCAAACAGAATCCTTCTAAATAGCACATTGTTGATGAGAAACAACGACAACGCGAACCAAACCATGAAAGTTCTACATTTATTCTGGTTTACATACCCTTAATAACTCTAATTGGACAGTGTCGTTGAACTAAAAGCTATTAGACCAAATATCACAGTTAATAAGAGACAAACGATATTTTCAGAAAGTTTTATCAGTATAGGAATTTATGAGGATTGTAGTATCTTCACATTTGAATTCACGAGTCGATCTAAGATAGACTACCACTGAAAACTGAAAGCACTGGATGGCCATTTTTTACAAGTATGGTACTCCTCAAGCATTGCGCATCAACGACTACGCAGGAGGGACTCAAAGCCAGGATCTTCGGTCTCACACGCGAACGCTTAATCTTTCATAAGTTACTTGTGCTTGAGGATTTGGTTGCCGAAAGAAGTATATGACCTAAGTGTCATCCAAAGAATTGTCAGTGAAAAGCTTCTGGAATATGTTTGGATAGTTAGATCAATTAAAATATCACTCAACTCCTCAGCATGGCTGCATATAGTAAAACAATTACTTCGGTCGAGGTTTTCCATCACAGTCAAAACAACTGTACGGGGTAAAAATATCTCTCATAAGACATATAATTCTACAAATATTCATAACTTTATCAAATGAAATCTTATTTTAGTCATATGGAAATTAAAGAGTATTACCATATAAAAACCTTGATCAAGCTCTAAGATAATATGGTGTCTCATCAACTTCTTTGAAAATGAACTTTGGTCCCATAAAAAATTATTAGATTTCAAAAACTAGGTTAAAGTACTACGATAACAAAATATAAATCAAATATTTGAATATAACTACCAAGGATCTAGTTCTATTTACTGAAGTAGTGTAGTTACTCCAACTATTAAATAGGTCCTAATCCATCCCTTACACCTACCGTATCAAACCACACGAAATTTTCAAGTCACTAAAATTTATCACTTTGAGAAACACAAATTCATCTCACAAGAATTTCCTTCCATCCCAAAATAACCATGTTTCCTTAGTTTATACAAACATTTTTTGATGGATAAGAAATCAGGTCTTGATATGATGTAATTAACCATAAAATATAATGAAACCACATTCTTTGAAAAAAGGTTATTATTCACATCACAATAGGTGTTGTCTTGCTGCATTATGTGAAACAAACCTTAATTAAGTGATAAACATTGTGAATTTTTGTTGGCTTAGATTTTCTTTAAATTCACGACCCAGAAACATTTACTGCAGACCAGAGCATGATGTCAAGAGTAAAACACACGTCAGTGATCCGCAAGGCAGCTTGTAGTTAGTCTAAGCCATTTACAAAAGAGCAGAATTCCTAAACAGGATGAATAAGACACAAGGTCAATATCAATAATGTTAACCTAACAACCCTTTCTTTTCCTTTAAATCTCTAAGGCCGTATTATTTTCATGTTTCCTAGTTATTTAACATATCCCTTATTTTAGCCACCTACGATTGTTATTTCTATTATTTGTTTAGCCATCATATTCTGACAACTTAATATGTTGTTATGAAACGTAGCAAACTTAAACGGTGAACCTTTACGCCGGGTCTTATGCTTTTACTTGACTGATTTCCAGTTAAAAGTTAAGTCACTAGTAAGTGATAAAGACAAAAAACGGCTAACTACTAACCAGTCACGTTTTATTTGCAAAGTTCATACGAGAAAATCAAAATAATATATGAGAAATCACTAGCAGAACAAGTAGAAACCTGGCAAAGTACACCAAATAAGTTCCAGCATGTAACCTTTAAAACCATTTAAATGGACTAATTTTCGGTATAAGAAGAATGGCTAAAAGTTGTGGCGAAAGCCCCACAATTATCTCAATGGAATCTGAATATACCATGAAACACTTGGTTACGAACATATTTGAAGTACATGTGTATTATTTAAACCCGCATATATATGCAGTAAAATTCATAATGTAGGTTAATTTTTAAAAAAATACCTTTACGTATTACAGAATCTATTATACCTTTGTCAATCTTAAACCGAATGAGGCTAAATCCCGAAAAATAAGTAAAGTGATTTCCATGAGAAAAAAAACGCTGAATATGTTAAATTTGGCAGTCATATACAAACCAAAGAAAAAGTGACATACCGTACCAAACAAATAACAGTTTTTAGCAACCAACTAAGAGAATCGTATTCATATATACAAAAAAGCTTACATAAATTTATAATCCACCCCAAAATATAACAAATAAGCATTTCCGCATTTCATTCAAAATCAGCAATGTTTTTGGCCAATCAAAGTGACGAAAATATGACGTATTATAACGAAACATTAAGTGCCTGAAAAGAAGAGGATCAAGGTAATAGTACTTCTTCTTGTACGCAAACTTCTTCACCCAACGAACAATATCTTGTGAAATGCTTAGATCCAGATTTGTGTGGTAAGAACAGAATGCTCACGGCCTGTGTTATTTCTTTTCTAATATGCTTCATCGAGTGTCTGGTCTTCTCTTGAATGAGTCATTTGACATTGCAGACACCACCGCTTTGGGTAAAAGGTTCTAAGAATTGATGAATCTGTGTGAAAACCTGTTTGCCACGGGTATTTTATTCGTCATAGGCTTTTCTACTCGCGTGCTATGTCCTTTGAGATGTGACTATCTTGCGTTAAATAAAAGAGAGAATATATAAGGGCCAAAATCATTTATTAGTATTCTAAACATCAAAATCTGATCACCTCTTAATCTGCGATGGGACGGAGTAAAGAGATCTAGCTTTTCAGGCCGCTCTTGGTATGGTAAACCCCGGAATTCTGGGATTGCGAGGGTAGCTTATTTCTCACTAAGGTTCTGTATACTGTAGTGAACATGATAGTATTTAACTTTGTGAATGTTCGTCCTTAAGCCGATAGGGTTATAACCCCCTTAGCTGCAACCTCTCGGCAATGGGCCGTCGTCTTAAGATCATGACTCACTGTCGCCACAAGGTCCTTGTGAGACCAGACCACGGATACATACATTTCTCCAATGTTGTACCTATTTAACTCTGTATCACCAAAGTGCATGTAGACACGCTTTGCCGCGTTGCTAGGCATCAGCCACTCCTTAGACCTGTTAATTACAATATCTAAGTCTGCCTGTGGTGTACATGCATATGAGTCTCCTGTTATTTTTCGCCAGACTTGTACATCGTCAGTGTGTAACAACATTGGGGACCCATCTATACTTGGGAGATCATTTGCACATAGCATCAAAAGTAAAGGACCTATGATGGAACCTTGAGGTACTCCACTACGTACTGGTCTCCAGATGGAGTACTTGGAATTTATCCTTACTTTCTGTCTATGACCTACTAAGAAGTCCTTAAGCCATTTTAAAAGAGGTCCAATAATACCAAGACTTTCTAACATCAATAGCAGTCTATTTGTTGGTACCTTGTCAAATGCCTCAATAAACTTTGTATAGACAACATCCACTGACTTTCCGTTGTCTATCACCTTTATCCACTATTCCCCTGCTATAAAGTGGTTCGTTGTACAAGATAAACCCTTTCTGAGACCATGTTGTTCGTAGTTAAACAAGTTGTTTGTTTCAATGAATGCCATTATGGTCGTTTCGACTACACATTCCAGTATTTTAACTACGACGCTGTTGTTGTTGACAGGTCCGTGGTTTGATGGAAATTGTTTTGATACTGGTTTATCTTTTAGAGTGACGATTGCATACTTCCAGTCTATAAGTAACTCACCTTGGCCAAGTGACATACTGAATATCGTAGTTAGTGGGACTGTTATCTATTGCGCGATTTGCCTTAGGATTTTGGAGTATACTTCATCCAGTCCTGTTGACTTTTGCGTCTCTAAAGCACTAAAGGCCTTAAGTACATCGTCTTAACCAAAGCCCACAGTGAGCAGGCGGTTTTCTGACTTTGTAGTTGGTTTTAGTTCTTCATTTAGAAGAGGCGCCTGAATGAAGACTGCCCCAAAATGGTTTGCCACAGCCTCTACCTTCTCCTGACCATCCTCTATGATTTCAGATCCAATCCCTTCATCAATTAGCTTAGGAATCCCATGCAGAATCCTTGTCCTGTAATTTATATACGAAAATAGTCTCTTAGGCTGCTTGGTTACAGATTGTGCCAATTGCATGTCATATTTTCTCACAGCTTCCTGGAATTTAGTAATAAACTTATTTCTTACTGACCTGTGGCATTCCTTATTACTTACTGTGCCAAGGTTGATGACAGAGTTCCAGCATTTCTTCTTTCGTCCTTGTAAACTTCGAATATCCCGGCCTATCAAGAGATGGACGTGCTCCTTCTTTAAGATTTTCCAGGGTATGTATGGTTGAGTTACCCAATTGTAAAACTGCCTGAAATGAGTTCATGCCACTTCTATTGATGCTCCTGAGTTTCCAGCCGATGCTGCAGGGTTTATAGCCTCCGGATCGGCACGGCTGTTTGACAAGCCATCTTAGCCGTGAATTTGAGTAAGATAAATGTGTGATCGCTTCTTCCTAGAGGTGGTAGGAAACTCATTTGATCGGTGTCATCATGTGTTAAGACTAAGTCCAAGAGAGACGAGGAGCTTCGTAAGTCATTTCTGGTGGGGTCTCTAATGTGCTGTAATAAAACTAGTGCAACCGAAACTTCTAACAGTTTGCAATCAAATGACGTTGTCGACGACCCTACTTCCAGGTTTACCTGGTTTATATAGGGCGTATTAAAGTCGCCTACTATGAGACTTACACGCCTGTTTGACCAAAATGTAAGTTTACTGAGGAGCACGTCATTTTCTACACATTGTGGACTGTGATATGCCACAACTAATTCAAAGTCTTGGAGTTTACATTTCGGCAGGAGGAGCACCCGTTCACATGTCCCTGAGTCGGGTGCCAGTGTTTCGACTGTTGGTAGTTTAAAGTGCTTTTCGTATACGGGATAACCCCACTGTAAAGCAAAGAGAACGTTAAAAATCCCTCCACATCATTTTTGTTGGACAGTACTGTCATTTATTTGTTCCTTCTACCTATCGTGTATTTAAACTTTGTTCACATCTCTTTTGACTACACGTTGTGTTCTTCCGTCTTCCTCGTATGAGCTTTTATTATGCGGTTTTGATTAAAGACTTACTTTTTGTTTCCTAATTTTCTATAGCACGTTGCGTGACCATCGCCAATAAGTTTGTGTTTGACTGAGCTCAAGGTCACGGCGTGGTTCTGTTTGTGACTGTTAGTTTTTGACTGTCTGCTTGGAAGGATTACTGGGATCCCTGCAGATAGATATCTGATCCAATTTTGTTGGGAATATTTTTATTGATTCCCAGGTACTGAACTCATTTGTATTAACTGTTTGTTTTTTGTTACTTAGAACGCTAATTTGTGTTAGAGAAACTTTTGACCGTATAGCACAGGCTGTACCATTTGAGGTATTTTGTATTTTGATATAATTTGTTGTATTTCCTAAATTAGAACCGTCTAGATTGAGCACAGAGTTTGTGTTTTGATATAATTTAGTACGAGTAACTCAAAAACGCTTCATATGCCATACAGAAGAACGTAGTCTGGTCTAATCCAATAAATTTTGGTTCGTTAGTTCTGCGTTCAGAGCGAATATTGGCAGCCCGGTCGTTACACCCACCACCCCTATGGTTTAGTCTGTCAACCCTACTGTGTAAAAAACCAAGCCACCGAACATCACAATCATACACTTCTGATGTTAACCGTGTTTCTGAGACTGCAATGACATCAGGGTTTTCTATTTCTTCCATTTTGTTGAGCGCTGCCATTACATTTTGTACGCTGCGAGCTTTTGTGTAGCATATTTAATTCACTAAAGAACATTCCATTACCACTCAAATTGGTTTGGGGATCGTTTCACTCCGAAATTTTACAATTCCAAAACCCTTAAGTACGTGGTTTTTTTCACAATTTCGGCTTCGCTCATTTCTACTTCTGCTTGTCGTCTCTTAATACGGTCAGCCAGTCTGAGATACTCACGGACGTATGTTCCAGATCCTGTTAGTTTGCGTGAGATTCTCAGTATCGGGTTTCTTTTCGGCGTACTTTCAGAATCCCTGAAACTGTCTTAGGAGTAGCTTGTCTATTACGGACTTAATGTGACTGAGGTCGTGCTCAAATCTAACCGTTGGTTCCTTTTCGGAAGCCTCTCTTAACTAATAAAAAAATATATGACCTTCAAATCCAGAGCTGGGCTCATGACACCAATGAAGTCCGTTTCCCGATATAGAATATGATGATAAAATCGATCAAAAACAAAAACAAGTGCACGATATACAGCGTATGATTGTATCCCAGTTAGTTTAACTACTTTATGTAACCAGTGCAAGACATACCACGTAAAGAACTGAATTGCTATGCAGAAAGCATAGTGATGTTGGAAAGGTAGTTATGGGAAAACTCGACGGTAACTGTTCACATGAGATACAGTACCCTGAAGATCGAGCAACTCGGTCGGTGATTGAAAGCCTCCACCTAAACCCCTATTTATGTGTGTATATAATCACACCCATCCTCCAACCACAAGGTAGACTACTCTTGGTAAATCACTAGAAGCAGGTAGTAAGGGGAAAGCAAAGTGAGTCAGTACATTCTTTAAAGAATATGGGTTGGGTTTATTCTAATCCAAATGGGTTCAGCAGCCCTAGGTCCTCATTTACTTTGAGGCACCCAAATTTCACAATACCTAGATTACCTTGTGAAAGAGTGTGGTAACAATCAGAGTATAGAGTTTTAGGAAAATTAAGGTAATTCACCTGGTGTATTGTCAAAGAATCCTAATCCAGAGTGTTCACTGTGACACCAATCCCACGTCACACAAAGCTGTGTAAGCGTATGATTACTTTTTATGCATCTCATCTGGAAAGGGCAAGCAAGTTATCCTTTCCCATATTACATTCTGGGCACATTTTTGGATTACGCCTTGCAGTATGATTAATAATCTCTTTCGAGGTTTTCTCCGGCATAATCGTAATAAGTATTTTCAATTGTATTAACTGATCGGTATGTAGAGCCGTTATATCACTTATGAAGAGACGGATAGGTGCAAAAGCATAATCGATTTGTCCATGAGGATTTCGTACTACTAAGTTGGTGATCTCCAACACAGCCAGGGAGAACGATATCCAGCCTCGAGGTTTGCATGTTCGCTTCTCATTGGGTTTGCTGAAACGAATTACTTGATAAGTTGAATTCCTGTGTCACGTGCCTGATATCGGTGTTCAGTTTGAAATTATTATCTCTATAAAAGGGACTGAGAATATTGGGATGTCCCAAGAATATCTGCGAAAACTTTGGTCA